AGTAGATAGTTAAAGCAGAAGTCTGGAAGATTTAACTCCCCCCATTCCATCTTCACCTGGTCTTCTTCTGGGTTTGGCATCTTCAACCAACCATCTTAATTGTTGGGCCCGGGACGATGTAAGTGTACATTTACAAAAAAATCGGCTGGCAGGCAGAGGGGTTTTTCTTCAATAAGCTATAAGCAGTCTCTTCAGCAATACAAGCTTACCTACCAGCAATATTTCACATTTACACTATAGTTCCACTTTATGTTTTGGGGGTTTTATGGTTTACAGCATCACACTTTGGGGAACTTTGCTATTTCCCTTTGTTTTCAGCCCTGAAAACTGAACACTGAGGGACTTCTTTAGAAAGAGAATAATCTCAACAAAATGATGATTACTGAAAAGCAATTAAAGACAAAAAATAATCACTTAAAAACAAGGAATAAAAAGGATAGAATACTGTATATAAAATGACCATATATAACAACATATGGGCAAAAATTGACCGAAAACAAGCCCACAAAACGCAATTCCCACAATGAAAACATAAAAACAGGTCTTGACTGTCAGCTGACCATCAGCCGCACATTACCCTATTAAACACTGAGGCACCCCACTACACACAGGAGGTTTGATCTTATTTTTTTTTATTTAAAAAAAACACGCAAAAAACTTACCTGGGTTTTGTTTCTTCATTTTAATTGTTGTTCTCTTAAATTTTGTTGTGATATCATGATATACTAAAAAAAAGCAAATAGGAAATGATTGTTAACATCACTACCACCATACAAATCACACTAAAGGAAACACTTTAAACAATGCGCTCTTGTTACAAATGAAATAAGTGCAGAAAACATTTATTGCTAATGTTCTAAAAAAAATGTTTCACACAGTGTTGTAAACTTGAAGATCTACTGCATTGAAGGTATCCACAGACATGACATGCCAATTCCCAAACAAATCCAGTAGGATGCCCCGCAACAGACAAGGGATCCCAGAAACTGCATGAAAGAAAGAAAACACCGGGCGCCTAACCTGGTGCAATAATCCTTTTATTGAAAAAACTGCATATATAAAAACACTTGTATTCACAAATGGAGCAAGAACAGTGACACAATGGACTTGTAGTCCTCACTGGATGAACCGCTGCACAAAGGTAAGAATGTCCAGGAGCTCTACTCATAGTGAGTCTCACTGCCACTAAGATGAACGTGTTTTCAGGAAACTTCCCTTTTATCAGAGCTGATTATTGCACCAGGTTAGGCGCCCGGTGTTTTCTTTCTTTCATGAAATGCCAATTACCTGGTCTCGCTGTTTTTGGGCCACTATCTTATGTCAATGCATCCCTACAGACATGTTGGCCCTACATGTCTCTTAGGAAATAGCAACTAGGCGGATTAGAAAATCTTGTCCAACCTCTTTAGTTTCCCATTAGCAGAAGTGTTTGTAAGCCCCTTCTTCTGCCCTCTAAGTTTTGTTTATGGCATCACTTGAAGATGCCTGAGGAAAGCTGAATCCTGCATGTAAGTCTGATTCACCACTCTGATCTAAGGGCACCTCAAGCTGTAAAGCATCCAGAAGAATTAAAGCACACAATAACTCCCAATCCAGGAGCCCCATATATTTCCTATTCTGATAAAATATGGGATACGTCACATTTGTCTCACTACCAGGAAGCATGTTCTAAGCCATTTTACTATATTCCCCAAAACTGTCTATTATGAATTTTGCGTTAAACCCAGAGGTTGTAAAAAGTGCCCATTTTGAATTACAGTTCAAATCCTGTTACACAGCAGGGAAAGCCTCCCCTCTCATGGACGGCATGCGGCCTGTTGATTACAGACGGTGCTGCATCAGGGTTTTGACAGCTAAGTTAGGTTACACAGCAGCAGGCTTCCCCACTGTTCCAGCAGTAGATATATGCAAAAAAAAAAAAATGCATTCAAGCACCCTAACTATTAACAATACTGTACCGTATTTGTGCATCAGCTGTAGATCTTCAAATCATCTCTGAATTGGTGACACTGTCCTTCCTTCTGGAGCGGTGGCTACTTTTGTTCCCCTTGGTCCCTGGGTGTGTTGTAAAGTAGACACCGCTCAAATCTCGCATCCATGATGGACTATAACTTCAATAAAATATTAGAATACTAATCGTTAGATTGTAGTACACCACGGGAGTGAGCTTGGAGTGGTGGCTACTTTCCATGGGGAACAAAAGTAGCCACCCTCCAGAAGGAAGGACAGTGTCAGCACCAATTCAGAGATGATTTGAGGATCTACAGTCGGGTGATACACAAATAAGATACATTTTTGTTAATAGTTAAGGTACTTGAATGCATTTTTAAGATTTAACTCCTGAGTCTTGTGTCACTTTAGCTTATGCATTTTCATGTGTTAAGGCAGCACATGTATTTTAAATGGCCTAGCAGCACACTGCAGGATTTTGGTAGAGCACCATAAGCCGTGCGAGTTGTTGTGGACTGTACTACAGGAGCTTTTGCAGTTACTGAACAGGTGTGTTGGGTTGCCATTCTAAATGGATGAAAAAAATGTGTTGCCAAAGCAATCATATTCCCCAATCATTTTGCAGAGCATGTTAGAAGGAGCAAGACCATAATCATTGCTACTGGGATGTTGCTTTCTTTCTTTTTACAAAACTGCTACAAATGTAGTTAAATAAAGGTCTGTTTATGGTCACATTTTGCCAGCTAGAACAAGGATGAGCATTTTGGAGTAAGACTGACAGCTACTTCAGTGTTGCTACATACAATCTGCTGTATAAGATAAATAATGAAGGCCATTCTGAGAGTTTAATAAGGAGCAGAGCCACCTACTCATTTACTTTCACTCTTATGTTTTGTAATACTTGTTCTTCGCAATAAAAACAGATTTAACGATACTTATTTACTTGCAGTGAAGGACATCTCCTGCTAATATTAATGGCTGTGCTACGATCAGGTGTCAGTGACTGGGGATAAATGGTAGGGAAGATGTCGGCTGTTTGATAGGTAGCAGTTACTTTCTACAAATTGGACTGACAAGTTTAAGTACCTGTCAGTGATACCCATGGGAAAACACCTGCTGTCTTCCAAAACATTGCAGGATTTGATTGTGTATCTTTTGGGCTTCAGTGAAGGTCAGTGTTTTAAGATGACACATTTATACCCCCCAGGGGGCTTCAAATTCTAAACACTACAACAAATATTTTTAAGGGTACATAAAATATAAAGGGGAGGACCAGAAACGTTTGGCGTAGGGGCAAGGATGGATTAAGGCAGAATGGGTCCTAGGCAAGGTAGCAGCTTTGGGCCTCTTGTCCTTTGATTGATATTGATAAGGGTTGCAAAAGGCACACAGAAGTCACCCATTTGCAATGACCAAACTGCCATAACCCCATTACATTAGACACCAAGTGCTTACAAGTTCACCTTCCCTTGTGAATTACAGACAGGTGGACAGAGTTGACCAATTTTGCTATGCCCCTGGATAACTGCAGGAGCATAATGATTGTAGCTGGGTCCCCTGGACATCTGCCAAGCCCTGAGCTCTTGCCTAGGTTGTTACATGGATGATCTGGCTTCTACTTAGAGGACAAACACTACCAACCAACCCTTCAGTACACAGTTGTGAGCTGGTCCTGGAAGAAGGACACAATCGGAAGGCATCAGACGCACCCAAATACATGAAATGTGAAGATTTCTTGGGCAGCCTTGCCCTTCAAGACAGCAAAGATTAAGCAAAAATTATATTTCAGACAGAGTCTAGTTAAAGTGCACCTTGCACGGAAATGCAAGATCTGAAAGTTTTCTATTAGCTTCCTTTGTGGTGTCCTGCACTTGATCATAAAGTTGCCAAGCAAATGAACAGTAGAAGCGTATTCTGAGTACAAATGACAGCAGGAGTTACTGTTCCATGTGCGGTCCCGACTGTGATAGAGCTCTGCATTGGGTGGCCCACATGAACTGAAGAGGCACTGTACCGGGGAGCAAACGCTACCCCACCTCACAGCCAAGTCCACCTCTGAAGATATACATTAAGGCCTGGTTCACACCTGCACATTTTGTAGCGCGTTCAACGCTCTACGAACGCTCTACAAAACGCTCAAACATTAAAATCCCATTGTTTTCTATGGGTATGGTTCACACCTTGCCGTATTTCAGCCCGTCTGAAGGCGCTACAAAAAACGGCCTACGCCTGAAAAGGTACATGAGCTTCTTTGCGGCGTTTTTGTGGCGCGTTTCCATTGGGATAAAGCCAAGTAGCCCTCGGAAACGCGCGTTTGTTGATCGTTTTTTTTACCGCGGATCGCGGTAAAAACGCGCGTGACGAAACACGCGACAAACGCGCATATTCGATACGCCTAGGTGTGAACAGAGCCTTACCGTTCTTCCCAAAAGCATGAGCTAAACTTACTTGTATGATTGTTGTATCGTTCTACGTAATGCAGATAATGGACAGCTCTGTTCTTTGCCTATGTCAAGAAAGTACAAAGATAAAAATACACATAAATTTAAAACACAGAAGTTAGCAAGCACAAACTGCATTGCATCACAGCCAGCAACTCTGAAGCGAGGAATTTGTAGAGTCAGGGATATACAGTGCAAAATAAGGGCAGTGTGAAATATGTTGGAGATAAAATTACAAGTAAAATACAATTTTGTGCTTATTCGTTATGGCAGCACAAATAGCTACTTCTGATTGCTTGACAAGGGTCACTGCACTTAGAGGATCGTCTTACCAGTATGACCTTGTGGGCTTTTTTTCTGTAAGCTAAGTCTGGATTGTCTGTATGCAGAGTGGCCGTGTGTGCTGGGACTATTACCACTATACACCAGGGCTGTGGGGGAGTACCCTGCTGACACCAATATTCCTCCAACAGACACCAACAAGGGGGCACTATTCCTCCTCCCAAGGACACCTAGGATGGGGCACTATCCCTCCTCCCACTGACACGAACAATGGAGCCCTACTTCTACTGCCATTGAGGTCAAAAATGGGGCACTACTCCTTCTCCTACTGACACCAATGATGGGATACTATTCTTCCTTTTGACACAAACAATGGGGAACCGTGCCTCCTCCTACTGACACCAATGCTGTGACACTATTAAGCCTCCCAATGACAAAAACAATGTTCCACTATTCTTTTACTGACAATGGGGCATTATATTAAATCCTACAGACCACTGGGATATTTCGTTTACTCCTCATGGCGTCAGGGCAATTATTCTACCACTGACCTTGGGGCATTCTTCCTACCACTGGCACCGGGGTAACCCTCCTATCACTGACCCTGGGGCATTCCTCCTACCACTGACTCCGGGGCATTCCTCCTACCACTGACCCCGGGGCATTCCTCCTACCACTGACCCCGGGGCATTCCTCCTACCACTGACCCCGGGTGCATTCCTCCTACCACTGACTCTGGGGCATTCCTCCTACCACTGACTCTGGGGCATTCCTCCTACCACTGACTCTGGGGCATTCCTCCTACCACTGACCCCGGGGCATTCTTCTATTTTGGTCAGATAAGCAGCCTCACTGTGTTTAATGCTAAATGGGCTGTTATATTCAGGCAAACATCACAAATAAATCTTGTGTACATTAAATTACAGTACTAATGTCATACTTTTCTTAGTGCTATCGCTCTGTCGTTGGATTTTCCAACTGCAAACCCTGTAAAGAGAGAAAAAAAAGAAGGTTACACTAAAACAACAAACCCTTGGAATCACCTATTTTCATATGACCTAGGTTTTGTTGTTGTTTTTGTTAACAAGCTGGTTAGGCCGTTAGGGCAGAATGGGGTTAGTGCAAGGTACATGATTATGATTAGGTTTAATGCTTAAAACCCCCTGAGAGTGTTTTTGTTATCCATTTCCCATTTTAAAAAAATCCCTTCATTATAATAGGCCCTATAGACACAACACCAGAACAATTATCTGCACTAGGACAGTTAGGACAGTTCTTCAATCTCTGTTCTGGTAAAAACTTTGGAGTAAATCTCCCTAGCAGGGATACAGACAGCAATAAAACTTTAATAGGGATTCTAACCCCTCGACAATCTTTTAAAAACAAAACAATAAAACAAGGGGAACAAATAGACATATATACACTTTGACAACTGTGCAAGCTTTACAAATGTATATCCTTTAAATGGAGAGTCACTTGGAAAACCTTTCACTACTAGGTCCAAGTACACTTATTTTACTTATAAAATCACAACACAATCACTTCATTCATTGCTCAGGCTAACTAAGCAAGTTTTTTTTTTTATCCATAACTTTCAAAAAGGTATGAAAGAGAAAGGCCCAAGATATAATTTTTAATAGAAACCCCCCCCCACTTATCTGGGAAGAGGATTGTCCTGAAAGGCCTAATGCAATTTACATGCTAACTATAATCAGAACAAGTTTTCAGTGTAGAATGAATATTTCAAAGTGTGCAATTACTTGGCAGTGCCATTCCTGCAAGGGATGTACAGAAACACACATTACCTTATCGTGTCTCCATTAACTTGTCAGTACATGTGACATTCAGATATCAACTTTACAGACATTTTCTATTCCGAGGACATGGTGGTTTGGATGTAGGCTGCCCTACATACTATGGTCACTGTCTACGGGGATATCCTAAGCACACAACCTGGAGCTCTCTTGATACAATTCTGCTAATTTTGGCCATAGCAATTGTGTAGGAAATCATGTCACTTAAAAGTGGATAAAAGCTAGTTAGGCAATATTCTTTCCGGAATAGGTTTTGTCATTAAACATACTAATTATTTTCAGCACTATGTGAAAAAAAATAATGACCCATTTGCACTGCTTTTTTAATTACTTTCCTGTCAAGGAAGACATTTTTTTTAGCACGTTATTAAAAGAAGCATATAAAAGATTACATTCTTTTATTTGAAGAAACAACAACATTTCAAGTAAATATGAAGCTATATTCAAATCTTGAAAATATGTGCAAATAAAATAGCTATGTAGTTTATTTTGATGTAGGCATTCTTTATGGGTTAAATCTGCTCATAGAAAAACTTTTGGAAATCTAGTGTGGTAAAAGAAAAGGGGCACTCCAGAAAAAAGGGGACCCCAATTGGTCACCTCTACCTAAATAGAGATGGGGTGTGTATTAAAGAAATAACACACAAACCAGGCAACACCACAAAGAGGATTTTTTAAAATGGATATCATACAAATAAAAGCTACTTTTTAACAACTGTGATGGGGAAGACACGCAAGGAAAGAATGTATGTCAAAGTCATTATGCTAGATACAAATTATATGACCTCCACTGGTGACAACCCTCCCTAGTCTTTTGAAGGTGGCCACTACCCTTGCCTTTTTATAACCGAAAAGATTTGTAGAATTCTACACTTCGGGGGAAAAACCAAGGTCAAGATGGGTTCACAAATTAATTGTATAAAATCATGGATGACCCCCTCTTACCTATTTTAGAGAGGACTTTCAACCTCATTTCTGAGACCTGCCCCTTTGCAAAGATGCCCACATCACCTTTATTGTCCAATAATCCTTAGGACAATAAAGACTCAGCTCATTGTGCCACCAATCACCAAATTTCTCTAATCAACATTGACTTCAAGATTTATACTTATTTATATTTATAAGATTATTACCAAGCATTTTAAATTGCACATCACCTCCTTGATCCATTTGAACCAAGTGGACTTCATCCCCTATCAATAAGTGAGAGACAATACTGTGAAAGCCCTTACTCTTATGGAGTATGCCAAGACATCCAGCCTACCCCTATGTCTGCTGTCAAAAGACACAAAGAAAGTGTTAAACCACCTTAATTGGGACTTCCTCTCTGTGACCCGCAACCAAGTGGGTATTACCCCTGGTCTCCAATCTAAAATTTTAGAGATTCAATGAATACTCTTAGACCCCATTTTTGGGACCCGTCAAGTTTGCCTGCTGTCTCCTTTTTATATACTGGCTATGGAGCATGTAGCTGTGGCAGTGTGATGATTTGTTGATCTATGTTACAAATCCGGAATTTTAAAATCCTCACCAAATGGTATTGCCGCCTGAACAAGCTGCATCCTATCTTTCACCAGGTGTCAAACATGCTGGAGGTGTAACGCTCAGCTGGGAACCATGCTACATCTCTGGTGGACATGTCCCCACCTTGCCCCTTTTTGATCGGCAGTGATTGACACGTATGACAGCATTACTACTAAAATATTATGTTACCCGCAACTCATACTTCTATCAGTTATAACCAAACATTGGAGGTTTACTGCTCTCCCCTTTCCGGGAGTGGGTTGTCGAGATGCAGCATCTGAAATGCATGCAGGAACTGACAGCAAATCTTTTTAGGATATTAAAGGTGGACATACACTATACAACCCTCGCAAGACTTTTGTCTTGCGAGGGTTGTAAAGTAATTTAAAAAATGTACGATCTGCCCCACTCCATGTGAAGGATCGTTTAATAATTTGCTTTTAAAAAATGGTAATGTACTCACAAGAGAAAAGTGACACAATCGTATTCAATGGTTTCCCTCACAGGAGGCTATCGCCCATCAGAAGCCACAGCACAGCCAAGTCAGCTCACGACAAAAGTCGTCTTCCAGCAGCGAGTGCCAAGGGTTAACGCGTTTCTGGGGCACACCCCTTTCCTCAGAACCCTCCCCATTTTTTAAAAGCAAATTATTAAACGATCCTTCACCTGGAGTGGGAACTCTACTTTTTTGTCATTCTATAGCAATACTACTCAGTTCTGAGAAATGTTAACCCTGCAAACTTAATAGCAGCACGCTCTCCTAATTACCTTACTCCCGAGACCTGTGTCACTCCTCTTCCTTTCCCCCTTCTCCTCCTTCTGTTTGCCTCTTTTCTCTAAATATCTTGTTATACAATCAAAATAAATGTAAAACTGGCCAGTCGACCTAGGAGCAGCACATCTCTCTATACTCTCACTGTCTCTATTTTGGTCCTATTTTTCATACCCATGATTTTTGCTCCTAGGTCGACTGGCCAGTTTTACATTTATTTTGATTGTATAACAAGATATTTATTTGGTCTATCAAAAGACATCTGTACTGTATTTTACAAAAAAACAAAACACACATTAATGGATTGCAGCCATAGTATTGATTGATATGTAGCTTCGGGTGTTATCTTGGTAAACAACACACCTTTGGTCAATTTTTCTCAGCGCTGATCCTTCACATTCTATCAAAAAATGTTTTGAGCAAAGTATGCATTGGTCATGTTTTGGCCCTATAAAAGGGAATCTGTTGAACCCCACTGGCATCCCAGAAAACTGAAGCCATGAACTTTCCAGTAAAGGAAACAAAGTTTACTTTGAGGGTGATGAGCTGGGATGGATAATGCTTAAAAGGAGGTGAGAGCACAGGCATGACCTCACCAATGTGCTAAAGTGCTTTCACTGTCCAATCTGTAGCCTGGGACATTAGCAGTCACTAAGCAAGATCTTCAGAAGCCATGTTTCTTCTACTCAGACATCAGAGGCAGAAGAGTGTTGAAATGAGCACATACAGGATACGTGCAGCTATAACAGTAGTATAGGACATATACTGTACTTGCATTTAATATAGATAGGTTTTGCCTGGAGTTACACCTTAAGGAGTGAGAGAATGGGGGGGATTGATCAAAACTGGAGCAGACAAAAACTGGAGCAGCTGTGCACAGCAACCAATCAGCTTCTCTCTTCAGTTTGTTCAGTGAAGATTTGAAAATGAAAGAGAGAAGTGGGTTGGTTGCAGTACACAGCTGCTCCAGTTTTTGTCTGCTCCAGTTTTGATAAATTCCGCTCAATGTGTTTCCATTGAAGGAAAAGACAAAAAATAGGTGCAAACCTTTTTCAATATGCATTTGCTACCTCTCTCCTCAGATGTGTCCAGCCCTTATAAAATATGCATCCATTACTATAGAATTATGCACAGTTTAGAGCCAAGTCACATGAGATTACTCACCAGCTGCTCCATTGCCATTGCCAACCACCACTAAGGCACTCATACTTCTCTTCCTTCCTTCTTTGGCTGTCATGGTGAATACACTTTTCAGCTATAGTACAGAAAACAGCTGAGTATTAATTACAGTCATTCATACAGAGCACATAAAAACACACTAGAAATTATATCTAATTGTCTGCTAGTTTTTTTTACTGCATTCTAATAATAATTTATAATTCCCTTGAAGCTTTTTATAGGTTCATAAAAGGAAATATATTGTAAATTCATGGGATGTGCATGTTAAAGTGACACTAAACTCAGGAGTTAAAGCTTATGAATGCATTCAGGAACCTTAACTATTAACAAAAATGTATCTTATTTGTGCATCACTCGGCTGTAGATCCTCAAATCATCTCTGAATTTCCGCTAAACCTGCCCATACACCTTACAATTATCTGCATATTTTCTGTAGTCAGATGTAAAAGGTGCAACAGATTCCTCCATCTACACTTAACTGTGTGGATGGAGTAATCTCCACCTGGGCCAATCTGTTGCACTTTTCCCATCTGACCACAGAAAATCTGCAGATAATTGTAAGGTGTATGGGCACCTTAACACTGTCCTTCCTTCTGGAGGGTGGCTACTTTGTTCTCCACGGTCCCTGTGTGTGTTGTAAAGTATCAAGCTCACTCCTGTGATGGACTTCAATGCGGTGCCGATACATAGTATTTGGGTGAGTACCTATACCGGAACTTCCAGTCAGAGGGACATTTCCTCTGACCGGCAGTGCTGCGAGAAAACATGGAGCAGGCTTTAATGACCTGCCGCCTGGCTTCTTAATTGGCTGGGCAGCCAGCTCCATGCTGTTTGGCTGGATCCATGCTGATTGGCCGGGAAGTCGGCTTCCCAGCCAATCAGCATCAAGCCAGCCAAACAGCGTGGGGCAGGCTTCCCACCTAATCAGGAAGCCTGGCAGCGGGTAATGACCCACCTCCCTGGTTGGGCGGAAAGCTGGCTCCTCGCTGACTGGCTGGGAAGCAGGCTTCCTGGCCAATCAACATCGAGCTGGCCAAAAGCTGGGCAATCAAGAAGCCAGGCGGTGGGTAATGACATGCTGCCCAACTTCCTGATTGTCCGGGAAGCCGGCTCCATGCTAGCAGAAGTACAGGTATTGGTACTCAGTATCGGTGAGTACCGAAATATAGATATCGGTACTTGATACCAAAAAAACGATAATAGTTAGGGTGCTTAAATGCATTTTTAAGATTTAACTACGGAGTTTAGTGCCACTTTAAGTAACAGTACAAATACAAACAGTGTTGGTGATGACATTTGCCTACAGCGAGTACCTGACAGCTTGTCACTGCTTACTTCTACTCTAGTATACATTATGCAGACATGGTGCATACATCAATTTTTCCAAAAATGTAGCACTGCTCCCTTTCTTGTGTAGTCAGCAGGCACAGGCTGTTGCAGTAAAATTGCATTCTGTAGAATTCAGAGATGTGAAACCAAATCCACACTGCGGAATGGCTGCTAACTTTTGGGAGGTGGCTACTACATTTTGGGAAGATTTGTCCCGACCTTTCTTTGTACTATTGCAGTGAACTACCCCAAATATCTGCAGACCATTCATAATTTTGCCATCATTTTTATTAGTCAACCAGTAGATGGCAACATCATAACATACTAAAAAACACACTTTTCAATGACTTTAGTAGAAATGGGACCCATCATCCTAGAACAACACTATTGCAGCAAGTCTCTTTAGTGCTATAAATTTGCTGCTATTTTCCTTTTCTGCTCTTTCTTTGTTGTACTGTAACTGCGGCACAGCTCCGTAAACACATGATTGGGGAAGACCTGCTAAGAACAATATGTATTTCATGTTGTTAATGCTAGCCTGTCGTATTTGAAGTGCACGTTTGATTGTGTTTGCTGACAGGCACTGAAAAGGTAAAAAAAGGTCAGTGCAGACAAATTGCACTCAGCTGATTTGTCTGTGACCTTTCCTCACCACACATTTTAAGAGCTTGACAACATCCTGCACAGATTAAAGCTTCTGCAGCCTTGGAAGAGGATGAACCAAGGATGTTACAGTGATTCATATTATAAGTGGTATGAAATGAAAACACAAATAAATGTCCAGTTGTCTATAAACACATTTATACACGTAAACTGCTAATGAGAAATCTCCTTCTAGACTCACTCAGCAACCAAACCGTTTCAGCCAGTTATTAAAGTGAACCTGTTAACCATTTGGAAGCAGAAGTCATGCTTTCCAGCAAGCAATATAAAAAGTACAGGTTTTTACTTTTGGTAACTTAAAGTGACATTAAGGGCAAAATGCCTTTTTATCCGATCATCTTCTTCTTTCCAGGAGTTTTTAGCTGTCCCCCAGCGCTGGTGCGGGTCTCCGATCCAGCGCTGACTCCTCTTCTCTCATGTCCCAAGGAGTCTGTGGGGGTGCACGCCGCTCCATAGACCTACCTTGTGTCTCTCATCTCCCAACCGAACACCTGAACTGTGCAGGCCCCCCCAGATCCTTTGCGGCCGCCCGAGAAATTTTCAGATGTTCGGACGGGAGCGTGCGGCGGAGACACAGGTAAGTATTAATTAACCCTTTGAAAAAGTTTTTCTTTTTTTTATAATTTTGCATATATCTTCTGCTTGCCAGCAGTAGATATACGCAAAAACAAATGAGGATTTAATAACCCTTTAAAAGATAACCTCCGGGAAAAACTTTTCTTAACCCTTGCAGTGTGGCTACCCCTGCACCGCAAGGGTTAATTGCTCATTTTCGTCTAGGTGCAAAAATTAAAAAAAAATTATACTTACCCGATCTTTGGAGCCTGCTGGCTCTTACCCCTGTCCCTTCAGCTTCTCTACCCCTCCGCTCCAGTAGTCTAAGGTCCCATGAGTCATCGCATTCAATACATTGTGTTTGCCCATAGCCCTCAGCTTGTGAAGTAAGCGTTTGTGTGGTACCGTATCATGTCACATTTTGTACGGTCAGGAAAGGGTCCGCAAAACGCGTCAAAAACGCACTGCACTGCAGCTAACATACTGACAGTATGGCTTTTTTTTAACTGGAACGCATCAAAAACGCGGCAAAAACACAAAGCACCACGTCTGCAGATCCGCACCTGATCAGGACCTGAAACTCATGTGAACAGGCCCTTAGACATAAGGCCGCTGAGGAACATACCATCACTGCAGCAGTGGAAGAGACAGGCTGGAGTGAGCGTTTTAACAGCCAGCCGACTCTAAGGTTTGGATGAGTATAACTTTTTTATTTTTGTACCTGCTCGAAAACGAGCACGTAACATGTGCAGTGTGGGGGTAGCCCAGAGTTTTGTCTGGAGTTCTTCTTTAGGGCTTGTTCACACCATGTCCAGATCAGATCCGGACTAGAAAGTTTTTTTGTCTGCACCTGAAATGCATCCCAATGTATTCCTATGGTATTTCTGCATAGATCTGATATGCATGCCCCTGAAAGAGTTCCTGTTTGTTCCATGCCGCTTGCAGAATCGTGTCCTTAGTCTTATAAAACATGTTTTTGGCATATTATGTCTCTCTGTAATCCATCGGTTCTCTTTAGACCTAAGGCACAGTGGACACGGTCCAATTTGAGCCGCTCATATGGGTAGCCCAACAACAGCTTTTGCAGAGGGCAGTAACTGGCAAACCCGCCAGGAACACAGGTAATCCCAAATTTGTATTTTCCCTCTGTGCTTCCTGTTTTCCAAATCCTTGAACTTCAATAGTGCCTCTGACAAGTCTAATTTTACAGAGTCTAAATTCTGTGCATGATAGTCGACTACTGACATCACACTATCTACCTTATCTTTAATATCGATGCGGGAGCCAAGGTCTCTGATTTCTCTGGATAAGTTGGTGGTCAGCATTTCAGCTGTTGTGGTTAGCTCTTTCTGTAAGAGCAATTTAAAGTTCTCCAATAGAGCAGTGTCTCTGCAGGTTAGCTCTCAGTGTTTGCTGGACAAGGGGATCGCAAGACTGTCACCGAAAGAGCAGTCTGCTAAGTCTGGAGAGGGAGTGAAGGCCTCTTGGGTATGTAGTTCCCTGCCAAGCAAGCAGCACTAGTGGTGGCTGGAGTCCTTAAAGCGTTGCAGGTAGCTGCTGGACTCTTCCCCATTAATGACCAGAAGGGTTCCTGGGTAGTAGGAGAGGAAATTGAAGGCGTTAAAAAAGCTTGCCCCGGAGAATAATAATGATCACATACCCGGGTGGTGTGGAGCGGAGTCAAACTGCAGCCATCTTGCAAGCCTGCTCACGGGCAGCCCCTTCCCTTTAGCATTTTTTTAAAACTAATCCATTTAGGAGGTTTAAGAGTATAGATATAAAAAAAATCAATTTCCTCTTTACTATTCTTTTGGGAGGTAAAGGAAAGGTACTACAAATCACTTTGTAGCCATTTGTTAAGGAATGCTTCACCCATGACTGTCGCAAAATCCAAAACCTGGACCAGAATAGCTTAGATAGTTAGGTCTTCAGTTTTAAAATGTTAGCCTTTACTTTTAAAGCAGGACTTCAGTAAGGAAAGGGCCACTTCCAGCCATCCAAGCAAATGAGGAAAAGACGTGTGCTAGATTAAAGTGCATTTTATGTAACACCTGCTTGTTGTTCAAACTACACAAAAGCAAGACATTGTCCGAGACAGGTTTAATTTCCTGCTGCAGGCCCAACACCATATGGAATATTACTCTATCTTTAAAAATGGTGCATCCAAAAAGAAAAAGCAGATGCAGGTGTTTCATTTTACAGATTTATTGCTGAACTGTGTTTCATATACTAACAAAGAGTTGACATAACGTATATCTTTCCATTGTGAAAATAGCCATAGAATCCAGTGCACCCATTATAGCCATAGACCTTAAAGCAGAACTCAAATCAGGTCTTACACTGCCAGGGTTAAATGCTCGTTTTGTTTAGGGAATCACCCGAGCCACGATTCTGGCTTGCTCTTAGACAAGTCCCTTCAGCCTCATTCTCTTGCGCTTCAGCGTTCTGAGGTCGTGTGAGTCATCATGTTCTAGACAGTGTATAGCACTGCTGGAGCAGAGGAGGCGGCAGGCTGGAGGGAATGGTGTA